CCCTACCCCCCTGCCCTGCCTGCACACACACTGTGCCCACCCACCCACTCTGCCCCTGGCTGCACATGCAAGACGCACACCCACACATACCCGTACCACACCAGACACACACATACCCTACCAGTGGCTCTGTGCTCCCCACTCCTGCAATGCAGCTGGGCCACATGGTAGGGACAGTGCCAGCAGGCAGGAAGTGCAATTGCTGGGGGTGGGGTAGGCTGGGCTGCTCAGGCCTGCTGAGGCTCCACCTGGGTCCTACTGCCCCTGACTCCAATCAGCTTTGACAGGAGCCAGAACAAATCAATACAGTTTTAAAGCCTAAGGGCTCCCTCCACCTATGGCTCCCTGCAGGGGTGGGAGGTGGCTGTGCAACCAATTTCCACCCGCCCTCTCGGGGGCGCATGCGTAGTTGAGCCCCCAGCGTTATGGACAGACAGACAGAAGTACTAAGACTTTTATTATATTAGAATACTAATAGCCCCTTCACTTGTATTCATTAATGTTGGCAGGCATTGTATTTTGTAGGCTATATTTCTATGATAATGTCTACCTTTTAATAGACTTCTGCACTGCTTCTGTAAGGTAAGAATAGAAATATAATCAATGGGCACATCTACACATGCATTAATGTACAGTGGTTACTGTGTATTTAATTTAGTACTTGTATAATCAAGTACTAAATAAATGCACAGTGACCAAAGTTACTAGTGCCAGTGAATGCCTTTTTAGTGACACTACTGTACAGTAGCCTAAAAATACTACGCAGTAGCGGATTAGCACTGTTTGTGTTGTGATGCACTACTGTGCAGTATTATTTGGCTACTGTGCAGTTAGCGTCTCTTGTAGATGAGCCCAATAAAACTTAGTTTTAGTGAACTGGTCTAGATGAGAGAGATGAAGAAGTAACAATAATCACCTGGTTTGTGGGGTGAAGACACCAATTTTGAAATAACCAACAGAAACTCCCAGTGATCCCTTTGTAAGTTTCTGCTTTGAGTAGATCTGAGCAGTAAGTAATCTGCACAGTAAGTAATTGAGAGTAAATGTGATACTTGTATTTACCACAAATTTTCATATGATTAGAGGAAATTACTGTGCAATACACATTTGAACGTGTAGATGGTGACACCTACTGTGCAGTAATTAGCTCTAATCTGCAATAAAACATCTTGTGTAAGGGGAGATTTTGCAGTTGTCAAGAAAAAAGAAACTGCATTGAGAAATCACAAATGGACTTTAATATATCTACAAGAAGAATGTGAACTAGCTGAAGACTCAGTACAATAGGCAGTCAGCCAGAACAATGCTGAGAAGGTAAATCACTGAAGTATGAGGGGTGGGTATTGAATTATTCCCAAACCAAACAGTCTTGTTTTTTTTTTTTAAAGGAAGGAAACCTCACAGCATTCTGCTGCTCCATAAAGGCTCTGAGTTCAAATTCCAGTCTTGATCCTTCATTCTTCAGAGCTGGTAGAAGGTCAAAGCAGATTAAATAAAATATACCATGTCTTTATTCAAGGCTTCTTACTTGTAGCACTGGATCCCAGAAAGCTGCCAAAAGGCACAGACATAACATTTGTAGGGCTTTAAGGGCCTTTTAAGTGCTATAACAAAGTAAGGGGACAGGGAACACAGCACTAAAACACAACAAATCAGCCTGAACTTGGAACGTAGGAGT